AATTTCACTTGGCTATGATTCTAATTTTCTCCTATAGATAAAAATGATACTAAGGTCACCTGAACTGGATACTTCCTTGATACTTACGCTGTGGTATCAGTGGCCAGGGATCATGTCACTAGCCCATAACCATCCTTCTGATTTAGAGAAAAATGCAAAAGACATTTAAGATACAGCTTCTCACACCCTTAGCTTACCAGGCGACTTAGAACTGCACCCTGAGTTAGGATTCCCCTGATCTCTGGCACTCTGGACACTGGGGTCTAGACAGCCCACTCTAAGGCAATGCCACTGTGAATCAGGATAGGACAGAGTTGACACCCAGCTCTTCCATGGTTTTCATGGATTCTGTGTGGATGTGGGATGACTGCTTTTAACAGTCTCCAAGTGGTCTTCCAACTCCCACTCTTCCCCTTCTGGGTTCTCCCTCCTCCCCAAGGGGGCCTCAGACTATTTCCCCATACACTAACTCCAGCCTGTGGGGTAAAGTTCAAACTGCTGACCTGATCAACAGGGCCTTCTAAAATCACTCTCCAGCCTTGCCAAGCCCTCCCAGCCCCCAAGAGCTTCTTTCGATTCCCAGTCCTCTGCGCTTTCATACATGCTGCCTGCAGTACCCTGCCCTCCATGCTATGTGAGCTCAGTCAGCACTGCTCTTCCTTCAGGACCCACTGGAGCACCACCTCCTCTTCAAGTTCCTCTCATGTGCCTTGCTCCCTCTCCTCTGTGGGTGCGGAACAGTGTAGACACCTGTCCTAGCACCTATGACACACAGGAGGAGCCAACCTCTCTGCATGCTTGCATCCCCCCGACTGACCAGACCGGAACAGAGGCGTCTCATGTTTGTGGACTGAATACTGAAGGACCAGGTCACCTGGTCACTAGTGCCTCACAGAGACACCTCTGAAGAGGAAACATTGTGGAAATCATACTATAATTCATTCATTCATTCATTCATTCATTCAAGAACAACTGGGAGGGCTGGGGATTTAGTTCAGTGGTTCCCCTGCCTGCCTTGCAAGCACAAGGTCCCGAGTTTGATCCCCCGTACCAAAAAAAAAGAACAACTGTGAGGCTTTTTTTCATACTGTGAGAGTAATTTTTAAATGATATAAACTTGGTCCCTTTTTTGTTGTTGTTGTTGTTGTTGGTACCGGGGATCTAACTTGGGTCCTTGTACTTGCGCAGCAGCAGGTGGCGAAACCACTGAGCTAAATCCCAGCCCACTGGTCCCTACTTTTAAGAAGATATGCTATATTCATTGTTTTACATAACAATACCAGGTAGTATGACCTGGTATCAAGCAAGTTTGGAAGGTAATATGTTCCTAAAAAAGGCAGAGAGGCCTGGCCAGGACTCAATCATAAATCTGTCTCTTATTAGCAAGAAACCTTAGGCAAGTTAATTAACTTCTGCCTTAGTTCCCCTATCTGTAAAATGATAATGAATTCTGACCTCTTGTTTTACCACTTTCCCTTCCCTCTGCTACTCTGACTTTCTTACTGTTCCTCAAACACTCAGGTCACTCCTTCTCTACTATTTCTTATCACAACATTCCAACACAAAATAGGTGGGGCATTTCTTCATACCAACAATTCTCCATCCCTCCAGACACTAACTGACTACCCTACAATCCAACACTATCTGGAGTTAGCAGAGTGGGAAAGTCCACTGGATGAGGGCTCAGTTCCACAAGACTGCCCCTTCTGACACCAGTCACCAAATCTGGGGCACCTAAACTTCTGAAGGTCTGGCTATAAATCCAGGGCCTGTCCACAACTCTACAGTGGATACTTTGCTAGTGTGACAAACATAACTCAAGAAGGCACTTTCCATACTATTATTACCAGGGTGTCGTGGTAGTAACTAGCCCCCATCCTGAAGCTATCTAGGGGTTTATCAGGGGCCACCTCGCTACAGAAACTCAGGTGTGTTAAATAGAGCTTATTATGAACAACAAAATACTGCTCCATCACTCAGAAAATGTCAAAGATTTTAGTTGTGCCAGAAACAGGACAAAGATCAAATCTGTACTTTAGATTATCACACTCCTACCTTAGGAATTGGACACTTTGTGGTTTCCTAACCCAGAAAACTTCCCTGAAAAGTGAATCATTCAGGTCTTTACTCCAATGCCACCTCCCCTAGAAGCATTGTCTGACTGTGCACTTAAAAATATAATCTTCTTTCCCATCCATTCCCTTCCTCATGCCCCTACCCTGCTTATTTTATTCACAGTACTTACCAGTACTACCTGAAACAGGACCATTTATTTGTTTGCCCTTTTTTTCCTTGTATTTCCTACTAGGATATAAACTCCTAGTAGGAGTTTATATGAGGGCAGAGTCATGGACTTAGCTGGAACCCCAGTGCCTAGGATTCCTGGCACATAGAACTCAATACTTGTTGAACAAATGGTGACACAGAATAATAGTACCTATATCAGGGCTGGGGGTGAAGCTCAGTGGTAGAATATGTGCTTAGTATGTCTAAGTCCCAGGGTTCAATCACTAGCACAAATAACTAAACAAGCAAAAACACCCCACATCAAAGGGTTTTAAGGCCAGGGGTACAGCTCTGTAGTAGAGCACATGAGCACAAGACCCCAAATTCAATCCCCACAATGTCAAAGGGGTAGGGGTTGTAAGGATTTAAGGAAGAGTGCCCATAGAGGAATATAAAGTGTCTAATACAATGCCTAGCACGTAGTAAGATCTACAACATTGGCTAAGGCTATTATCAAGGAATCCAGAAGAGGGTGAGGTCAACGTGGGCCAGGGCAATTACAAAAGGTTTCGGAGAGGCGCCAGGACTTGTGCTTGATCTGGAAGGATAAGGATTTTTTTCTCCAGCTGGGCATTTATCGGGGTTGGACATGTCTCCTCTGCACCAGTCACTCCTCCCCAATGTGTGCTGTCTTCACACCCCAGATCAAATGCTGCCTTTACACTGTTTAGAATCATCTACAGACAAGCCTCTCTACCCATCCATTAATCTGCTTATCTTTCATTCCCACACCACCAGAACTCAGACATAATTTCACTATTACTAAAGGGCACTTGATAATACTTGTATCATTGAATTAATTAATTTCAGAGATGTACGGAAAAGAGACAACCAACTCTTCAGTCCAGTTATTCAGGCCTGGGTGTCTATGACAGCTAAAGAAATACTCAAGTGTTGGCATTAAAAGTCAAGTGCAAAGATCATGTCCAGTTGGGCATGGTGGCACATGCCTGTAATCCCAGCACTGGGAAGCCTGAGGCAGGAGGACTGCCTCCAGTTTGAGGCTAGCCTGAGTGACTTCAAGGCCAGTCTGGACTACATAATAAGAACCTGTCTCAAAAAAAAAAAAAAAAAAAAAAACCAAGAAAAGGGCTGGGGATTTAGCTCAGTGGTTCTGCCCTCTGCCTCACAAGTGAAAGGTCCCAAATTCAATCCCCGCACCCCCATACCAAAAAAAAAAAAAAGGGCTGGGGATTTAGCTCAGTGGTTTCACCACCTGCTCTGCAAGCTCAAGGACCGGAGTTCGATCCCCTGTACCAAAAAAACCCCCCAAAAAACAATGTCCACAGTAGAGCAACAACAAATTCTAGTCCATCAATCTTATGCAGAGATTAAACTGGGTAAGGCACTCAGTAAAACAATATCAAATATATATTAACTGGAAAATAGTACATGATTTTACTCATGTAAAACAAAATATTTTAAAAGGACACACACAAAAAAACCTAAAGATTTCTGTGTACATATATCATGTTAAGCACTTTATCAACTCTTCAATACCTTGTGCCTAAAACATAGGTTTTCAATAAGTATTTGCAGAATGAAGATACATGTACATTGAGAAAAAGATCGGAAATTCTGCTTTTTATGCTAAATATTTCTGTACTGTTTACATTCTTAAGAGACCACATTAATGTCTTATTTATATAATTAGAACGCATTCAATAGCTATTTTTTTAAACTGCAGAACTTGGATATAGACCATAAAGAAGTCCTGGCACCAGACTGTAACTTCCCCAGGGAATTAGTTTTGAACAATCAAGCCTCTTACTCAGGACTCCACGTTCACTCAGCCCTTCAACAGCGTAACAGAAAAGTTCTGAGTCACCAACTGTTCTTCAACACCTATGACCGGCCCGCCCTTTCTGGAGAGCTTTGCTCCCGAGCCACCATCCCTGGAGCTCTCCTCAGCGCTCCGCAGTCCCAGGGGCCCCCGGCGTCAGTCCGGACTGCAGGCAGGGAGGAAGCCCCCAAAGTCGTGCACGCCGCGTGGGAAGAAAACTCACGTTCCGACTGGCCTCTTCACTGGCTGAAACCTGCCTCTCCGGCTCAGGCATCATCCCCCGAAGACACTAGTTTGTTGTTCTTTTGGGGCTCTGATCTTCCCAAAGCCCAGAGATCACCAGGTGGGAGGCGTGGAGAAGAGCAATGTTAAAACCCTGGAAGAAGAGCAACGGCTGTGTAGGCATCGGTCCGGTTCGACTCCAACCCGACTCCAACCTGGCTTGGGGCCAGGGCACCTCTGTGGGTTAAAGTCGCGCGGCGCCGCGCCCCAGACGTGGCGGGGCAGTGAGAGCGCGAGGGGCGCTTGGTCCCCGACCCTCACCCAGGCCGGCCGGCTCCGCCCTCCCGGGCTCCGCTACCTCGGGCCGAGGCGCTCAGGACTTTCGTCCCGGGATCTCCGCCGTGTGCGGGGGAGGGAGGACTCGGCAGCAGCGGACGCAGATCCCAGTGATCCCCTACCGCCAGGGGAGAGGATTTGGCGTGGCCCGCTTTGGGACTCCGCGCGCCGGGGTCTGGGACGCCGCAGGTCGTAACCGCTGCGGGAATGGACTCTGCTCCCAGAAGATCGATCCGCAACCCGCAAGGGCCTCCCATTTGATTTCCACTGGGCCGCAGGCTATGGGGCAGGGGCGAGGGTGCCGGAGCGGGTCTTCCAGTGGGGGAGGGGCCGAGGGCGGGAGCGGCAACTGTCTATTACAAGCCACGCCCCTTCTCATTGACTAACTCCCGCTAAGGTACCGCCCATCCAGGCGGGGTCTGTGAGCGCCAAGAGGAAATCATGTCCAGTCTCTGGCAGAGTCTATTGGTTGGAAGGCCGTGGGAAGCTGCCATAAGTAACCAATTGAAACACACAACCGGCTCGTGAGGGCGGGTGGAGTATCGCAAGCTTCCTAAAGAGCCAATAGAAAAGAGGGACGTCAAAGAGCTTCCTGAGTTCGGGAGTCTGTGGAAGATGGCGGCTGCCAAAGGCAGTTGGTGTGTGTATGAGTTGCTGAGGTGAGGACCCGGTAGACTGGGCTCGCAGACGTTAGTGGTAGTTGCCGGTCTGGTACAGCTAAACTCTGTGGGAAATGGCCTGCGTTGGCATGAATCTAGGATATTTCCTCAGGTTAGTGAGCGGTCTTTCCTTTTCGGGTCTCCCAGATAGGTTGGAACAGACTAGGTCTTAGAGACCTAGTTTCATTGTTTTTCCCACTACGGTACTGCTTATCTAGGCAGTAGATTACCTACAGATTACCTCAGTGTTTGTCACCTGCCTCGCTAGTGGCGAAGAAGTCATTTTCTTCCTTGTTTCAGTTTTTCCTTTCTCTTCCCAATCCAGTTAGTCTGTCGTAAGTTACTCATGTTCTTTCATTTTCCTTTATGATTATTTTCCAATTTATCATGTCTCGCCAGTGAAAAAACTAGTCCTTCTCGTCTAACTGCCATTCGTTATAAAGTTGTTTTTGGTTTTTTTTTTGCGTTACTGGGCGTTAAACCCATGCTAGGCAAGCGCGGTCCTTCTACCTGTGCCTCCCAAGTAGCGTGCATTTCCGTGCACGGATGAATTCTGTACTTATTATTCATTGATTTATTTTCTCTGATGTAAAAATAGTTATATAAAATATTGCTTTCATTTTTATTACGTACATAAGAAATTGTTTCTTGTCGAAAAGTTAGAAAGTAGGTAAGTAAAATTCATCAGGAATGCCACCATCTGGTAATAACCCCTGTTAACATTTTGGTGAAAACGCTGACTTTTTTCCACGCTGACTTTTTTCCACCTTCGTTGTTGTAATATTGCTTTATCTTGAATGCCTTGCCCTACACTAATAAAATGAAGACCTAGCCAGTAGTGGCGAACTATGGCACAACTGTGCCGTAGCAGACATGCAGAGCCCGCTCTACGATGACGTCACGGGGCTGTGTGAGTTTTTTTCTATACTAAAACCTCAGTGTGCAGATTTAATTGCAATGTTGGTACTTTGCGATAAATAAGTGGGTTTGAGGTTGCAGTTTGGGCACTTGGTCTCTAAAAGGTTTGTCATCAATGGTAGCATATTGTACCTGCTGTGTTCTCTTAACACCCATATATTTTCTATTCAGGATGAAATTTATAATTCACACCATAGCTTCGTGAAAAGCAATCTATACATAATCTCGCCAAAGTTAATGTTTCCCTGTTTAAACATTATATAAAATATTCTAAATGAAAAAAAAATTCTAAATGAGAAAGTCTTTTCGGAGCCTCGTGTTCTTCCCTGCCATACCTAATGTCCCTAACTCCTGCTTTATACATTATGCCTAAATGTTTGCTGGATGACCCACTGTTGAATAGTTACCTTTTATAAAGCCTTCTGTTTAAACATGGATAAATAACGTTGTGTATTTTATATTTAAACATTGTATAATGGATAATTTTGATGTGCAAATACTATAGAGTAATAAATTTACAGAACCTGTGTGTCTTTGAAACTAACTAGACTGAAAGGACTGGTTTAACTTTAGTCATTAATGTGGCAATTTTTCTAATTTTGAGTTAAATACACCCTGAATTTGCCTACATAAATCATTTGAAGAAATTGTCATAAAAATCTTTAGATTGTGAGTCATCTGCTTTTTAAATAAAATAAGCTTTTAAAAGCTTGCACTAGAAAAACAAACTGCCCTACCATTATATAGTGCTGCTTTTATGAATTTGTATATTCCAAATGTTAAATAAATGACAAATTTTAGCACTTCTGTTAAATTCTATTCACTTTTTTAAGATAGTGGTCTTCAAAGTGTGGTCCATGGACCCATGAACCCAGGTTCAAGACTCTTTCAGTGAGTCTTAAGGGTCAAAACTCTATCATAATGTTAAGGTAGCATTCGCCTTTTTCACTAGGTTGACATTTACACAGATGGTATGAAAGTAGTGTGGATAATAGTGCCTTAGCACAAATCAGGGTAATGATGCCAAGCTGTCATTGTGTTTTTCACCACCATTTACCCGCTAAAGCCAGTTTTAACCAAGAGTGTCTGTGATGTGCCAGACTGAGGCAGAAGGATTACCGCAAGTTAAAGTCCAGCTTACACTACATAGCAAGGCCCTGTCCGAAAACAAAAATAATTAAAGTAAATCTGTGATAAAATATACAAATTATTGCTTTTGTTAAATCTCAATCCTTGAGTATATATATCTCTGTAATGTTCTGTATAACAAAAAGGAAAGGGGGATGGATAAACCTCCATATGGCTATCTCAAGGAAAACCTCTTATATGATTGTCTTAGTTGCAATGGTGAATTAAACAACATTTTTACTTGAAAGAATAACTGACAAACTTGAGCTATCAAGGCATTATATTACAAAATGAAGAGGTAAAAGATCCACTGACCACTGGCTCAAGTGATCCTTCCACCACAGCCTCCTGAGTAGCTGGAACTCCAGGTACACACCACTACTCCTGGCTAGAATTTTGAAAATTTAAAAAAAATTGCCAATCATAGTGGCATATACTTGTAATGCCATTTACTTGAGAGGCTGAAACAGAAGGATCAGGGACTGACTGCCAGCCTGGGTAACCTACTGAGACTCTGTCTCAAAATTGCAACTCAGTGGTAAAACACAAAGAAAAAAATATTATAAGTATTTTCTTTTTTTTTTGCTACCAAGCTTACACACTACAAAAATTCTGGTTTCTACTAATATATAAAGTGAATATTTTAAAGTTGCCTTTAATTTGTAGTATATTTTTAAATGGGCATCAGATTGATTTTTTTACCTTTTCTTTCTTATTTTAGGTTTTTTTATTCATTATTTTTTCCTGGGCTAATTGTGTGTGGAATTTTATGTGTATTTTTGGTTATTGTGCTTTGGGGAATCAGACTGCTGCTACAGAGAAAGAAAAGATCAATGTCAGCCAGCAAAAATGGGAAAAACCAAATGGTGATTGCATTTTTTCATCCATACTGCAATGCTGGTGGAGGAGGAGAAAGAGTTTTATGGTGTGCCTTGAGGACCCTGCAGAAAAAGTATGTATGGGTCTTCCTTATTAATTTGGTGCATTGTTGCCATTACAGAAAAAAATCATTACCCAGAAATTCATCTTTCTTTTTTACCTTATTCATAGCCGGGAATTCCTTTTTTTTTTTTAACTGTTTTTTAATAAGAAAATATTTCTCTCATAGGCCTACCTGCCTCATATGATCCTATTGAATTTTAGACCTGATATGGTGGAATAATCCCAGGTCCTCTAGAAGCTGAAGTGAGAGGATCATTTGAGCCTAGCAGTTTAAGACCAGTCTGAGTAACATAGTAAGACCTTGTCTCAAAGAAAGGTCTAGCTTTTCAAACATGTTTGCATTTCTCAGATAAAACTCTGAGCACTGCTTTAGAATTATAATTCCATATAAAAATACCTTTAATGAACTTTGGTTCTTATTTATGAGACCTTTATTAATATTTCATGACCATTTTTATACTGAGAATGTTAAAATAACATTTTTTATTTTTGCAGTGCAGGAGATTCAACTCAGGGCCTCATGCATGTTAAGCAAGTACTGTACCAATGAGTTACACACCCTGCCCCTTAAAATAAAATAATTGAGTATTTCCTAAAAATATAATCTTCTCATTGATAATTTAGGATTTTTGTTGGTGTCTTCTCCATCTTAAATCCATAACGGAAGAAATAGCAAAAATCCAGAAGGTATAGAATCTTAGTCAGATCCAACTCCAGTAACAAAATACCTTAGACTGGGTAATTTATAAACAACAAGTTTATTGCTCACAACTCTGGAGTTGGGAAAGTCTGGGCAGGATCAAAGCACCTGCAGATTTAGTATCTGATAGCGACTCACTCTGCTTCATAGGTTGCTCCTTGCTGTATCCTCATGGGGTAGAAGGGGCAGATAGTCTCCCATAGGCTTTTTTTTCATGAAGGCACAAAGGTGCTGGGGGTGTAGCTCAGCAGGGAAGCATGTGCTTAATGAATGAATGCACTAATGTCATTGTGAGGCCCCCCTCCTCTTAATACTGCCATGTTGGGGATGGGGTCTCAAAGCACAAATTTTGAGAGGACACAAACATTCAGACAGTGGTTTCATTAGCACATGATTTCATTTGCAGAACTGAAAGTTTAGTCCTTGGACAGTAGAAAACTCAGGAAACAGGGAGTCAGTAATTTAAATGCAATGAAGAAAAAACAATAAAAAATTTCTAGCCGGGCATGGTAGTGCACACCTATAATCCCAGCACTTTGGAGGCTGAGGCAGGCAGGAGGATTGCCATGAGTTCAAGGCCAGCCTGGGCTACACAGCGAGACCCTGTCTCAAAAAAAAAACCCCAAAATATTTTTCTAGTATAAAAATAAGCATCTTTATGATTGTGAGAAAAATGTCTCCAACTTTTTGCTTGATTTTGACCTAAACTAATGATATTCATAACTATTATTTTCTACTTAGGTATCCTGAAGCAGTTTATGTTGTTTATACTGGTGATGTTAATGTCAGCGGTCAACAGATACTAGAAGGTGCTTTCAGAAAATTTAACATCAGATTAATCCACCGAGTGCAGTTTGTTTTCTTAAGGAAACGCTACCTTGTGGAAGATTCACGCTATCCTTGCTTCACACTGCTAGGCCAAAGCCTGGGATCCATTTTCCTTGGTTGGGAAGCGCTGCTGCAGTGTGTTCCTGATATTTACATTGATTCAATGGGATATGCTTTCACACTCCCTCTGTTTAAGTACCTAGGGGGTTGCCGAGTTGGAAGCTATGTTCATTATCCCACTATCAGCACTGACATGCTCTCTGTAGTGAAGAATCAAGATGCTAGATTTAATAATGCAGCCTTCATTAGCAGGAATCCTTTTTTCAGCAAAGTAAAACTCATCTACTACTATTTATTTGCTTCTATTTATGGACTTGTTGGTTCGTGCAGTGATGTCGTCATGGTCAATTCTTCTTGGACCTTAAACCATATTCTCTCACTGTGGAAGGTTGGGAATTGCACAAACATTGTGTATCCGCCTTGTGATGTGCAGACATTTCTGGACATTCCTTTACATGAGAAAAAGACAATCCCGGGACATTTATTCATTTCCATTGGCCAGTTCAGGCCTGAAAAGAATCATCCTTTGCAGATCAGAGCCTTTGCTAAATTGCTGAGTAAGAAGGTGGCTGAGTCGCCTGCATTACTTAAACTTGTCCTCATTGGAGGTTGTCGTAACAAAGATGATGAACTTAGAGTGAACCAACTGAGAAGATTGTGTGAGGACTTAAAAGTTCAAGAAGATGTGGAATTTAAAATAAACATTCCATTTGATGAGTTAAAGAAGTACTTGTCTGAAGCAACAGTTGGCCTGCATACCATGTGGAATGAGCACTTTGGAATCGGTGAGTTTTTCTTTTAAACAATTTGTGTGTTGCTGCAAGATGTACTCCTTACATTTTTTTGTAAAATGATAATAGAAGAAGTCTGCATCAAGTCCTAATTCTCTTTCCCTAATCCACCAAGAATGCTTTGCTTATTTGAGACCCTGTAAGACAGTAGTTAATAACACCTGGACTAAGGATGTATTTTAGTGGTAGAGTGCTTTCCTAGCATCTGTGAGGTCCTGTGTTCAATCCCCAGCTGCTACCAAAATTTTTTTTTTCTTGACCACTTACTATGTGCAGGTCATTATGTTGAGTTTTTATAAGCATTATCTAGTTTAATCCTCTGACAGTATTCTTTATAATTCCTTTTTATAGATACAGAAACTCAGGGACAGAGAAGTTTAGTTACTTGTGTCCAGTAGATCTACTATTGATGAGAAGGACCTGATCTGGAAATAGGGAGTGAACAGTTGTGCTTGCCCAAGTCGTGAAGCCCTATGAATGTGGATATAAAAGAGAATGGAGGGCTGGAGAAAATGTGCAGACTCCAGTGCCTTGGAGACCACAGAAAATAGTGTTTCAGGAAAAGGAAAAAAGCAACAAATTCTCAAACTGCTCAGATTCTAGGGGAACATAAAGAGGTCATTGGATGGGCTGGGGATTTAGCTCAGTGGTTCGGGCGCCCGCCTTGCAAGTGCAAGGTCCTGAGTTCAATCCCCAGTACCAAAAAAAAAAAAAGAGGTCATTGGTGCACAAGCAAGCGTCGAGGGAGAAGGGGAAGCAAAAGTCAAATTGTGCTAAGTTGAGCATTGAGTTGCAACCACACTGTCAGGAAGTGTATCTGTGAAAGGGAGGTGAAAGAAGAGAGGATGGCTGGATGGACATGTGACTCGAGGAGGGTGTGTGTATGTGTGCCCTTCTTAGTGTTAGGAGCCTCACCTATGTTAAATGCTGATAGAAAGGGGCCAGGAGAAAGGGAGAGGTGGCAGATCATGGAGGGAAGAGGAGGAATAACTGATCATTGGAGGCCTCTGAGAAAATATGAAGGGATACTTGCCAGCCTTACACAGAATCTGAGGCACTGAATGCCTCTCTAGGGATTTCACCAGTGTTCAAAGAATGATTTAACTTCTCTCCTATGCACCTAGGATGATATCAACCTTATGTGTCCTTCAGAGAATTGATGACTTAATAAGTCGTTTTCTGGGGGGGGTTAATTCTCCCAGAAATACAGGTAAGAAAGGCCAGCTGAAGTATTTATACCCTCTCGTGCATAAGCCTCCATTTAGTTCATCCCTGCTGTTGAGCATAGCAGAGATGGAGGCGGCAACAAAAGCACCAGCAACATTATGCTTTGCTGAGATGATTCACATTTTTGCTTGATTCTCCTAATGTACATAATTCAAACTCTTAAAATTTTGTGACTTATATCCCTTGTCTGTTTTAAATAAGAATGAAGCAGCCTTATTGTGAAGCTTTGGAAATTGAAAACTTAAAATCATTCTGTTTGCATCAGAGAAGTTAAATGAACAGATTTATAGGCATATATGTCTTTAAATTTCTAATAAGTCTCAAAAAATTTTGACAGTTTCTGCTTATCCTCATTCTTATGAACTCACTCAAAAACATAAAGAACTACATGGGTTTTTTTTCTCCCTTTCTCAGGAGTGGTGGAGTGTATGGCAGCTGGCATGGTTATCCTTGCACACAATTCAGGGGGCCCGAAGCTTGACATTGTCGTTCCTCATGAAGGAGAGATAACTGGTTTTCTGGCTGAGAGTGAAGAAGACTATGCTGAGACCATGGCCTATATTCTTTCCTTGTCAGCAGAGAAGAGACTGGAAATCAGAAAAAATGCTCGTGCATCTGTAAGGAGATTTTCTGATCAGGAGTTTGAAGTGTCATTCCTGTCATCTGTGGAGAAGTTATTTGAGTAATGCCATATCTGTGTGGATGATCTTATATAAAATCGGCAGAGCTAATGGTGTTGCTCCATGGTAGAACATGTGATTGGCATGTGCAGGGCCCAGTGTTCAGTCCCCAGCACCAAAAAATAATAAAATGACTAAATGCCTTCTAATGTAAATATTTTTCTAAACTCATTCCCTATTATAATAAAGTCAGATTGAGCAGTGTTCTCAGAAGACCTATATAGACAGGGTATTCATTTCAGTGGAAAAAGTCAAAATTACCTAAATGGAAAGGATAATCTTACATATCTTATATAAAAATTTTATTTTAGTATTTGGTTTCAAATACTGAAAAATACAGCTTTTTTTTCTGCAACGGGTTTGCTATGAGAGCACAAGTGTGAAAACCACTGCTAAATCAAAACCAACACAGGAAAGGAAAAGATTCATATCAATATCATCATCATCAGACATGTGGATTCGGCCAAGTCCATTGCTACCGGCCATCTGATATACAAATGTGGTGGCATCAACAAAAGAACCATTGAAAAATTTGAGAAGGAGGCTGTTGGGATGGAAAAGGATTTCAAGTATGCCTGAGTCTTGGATAAACAAAGCTGAGCTTGAGCATGGTATCACCATTGAGATCTCCCTGTGGAAATTTGAGAGCAACAAGGATGTGACTATCATTGATGCCCCAGGACACGGATTTTATCAAAAGCATGATTAAAGGCACATCTCAGGCTGCTGGTGTTGGTGCATTTGAAGCTGGTGTCTTCCGTGAGCATGCCCTTCTGGCTTTCATGCTGGGTGTGAAACAACTAATTGTTGGTTTTAACAAAATGGATTCCACTAAGCCACCCTACAGCCAGAAGAGATACAAGGAAATTGTCAAGGAAGTCAGCACTTACATTAAGAAAATTGGCTACAACCCTGACACAGTAGCTTTTGTGCCACTTTCTGGTTGGAATGGTGACAGCGTACTGGAGCCAAGTGCTAACATCCCTTGGTTCAAAGAGTGGAAGTTTACACATGAAGATAGCAATGCCAGTGGGACCCCACTGCTTTAAGCTTTAGATTGCATCCTACCACCCACTCAACCAACCAACAAGCCTTTGTGGCTGCCTCTCTAGGATGTCTACAAAATTTGTGGTTATTGGTACCATCCCTGTGAGCCAAGTGGAGACTGGTCTCAAATCTAACATGGTGGTCACCTTTACATCAGTCCATGCCACAACTGAAGTAGTCTGTTGAAATGCACCATGAAGCTTTGAGTGAAGCGCTTCTTGGGGACACTGTGGGCTTCAACATCAAGAATGTGTCTGTCAAAGATTTTGTCATAGCAACGTTGCTGGTGACGGCAAAAATGACCCACCAATGGAAGCAGCTGGTTTTACTGCTCAGGTGATTATTCTGAACCATCCAGGCCAGATCAGGGCTGGCTGTGCCCCTGCACTGGATTGCCACACAGCTCACACTGCAAGTTTGCTGAGATAAAAGAAAAGATTGATCACTGGTCTGGTAGGAAGCTGGAAGATGGCCCCAAATTCTTGAAATCTGGTGATGCTGCCATTGTTGACATGGTTCAAGGCAAGCCCAGGCAAGAGCTTCTCTTCACTCTCCAGCTCTGGGTCGTTTTGCTGTTCATGATATGAAACAGATAGTTGATGTGGGTGTCATCAAAGCAGTGGACAAGAAGGCTGCTGGATCTAGCAAGGTCACCAAGTCTGCCCAGAAAGCTCAGAAGGCTAAATGAATATTATCCCTAACACCTGCCACCCCAATCTTAATCAGCGGTGGGAGGCCGGTCTCAGAACTGTTTTTCCCAATTGGCCATTTAAATTTAATAGAGTGGTTAATGATAACAGCGTATCGTAAAACCTTCAGAGGGAAAGGAGAATGTTTTGTGGACCATATATATGTGGCGGGGTGGGGGTGGGGTTGTGTTTTTAAAAAAATCACTTTTTTTGGTACCGGGGATCGAGCTCGGGTCCTTGTGCTTGCCCGCCAGGTGGCGAAACCACTGAGCTAAATCCCCGGCCCAATCAACACTTTTTTTTTTTCTTTTTTTTTAACTTACTGGAGATCGAACTCAGGTCCTTGCATTTGCTCAGCAGGTGGCGAAACTGCTGAGCTAAATCCCCGGCCTGTTTTGTTTTGTTTTGTTTTTTGGTTTGTTTTTTGTTTTTTTGTACTGGGGATCAAACTCCGGTCTTTGCGCTTGCGCAGCAGGCGGCGAAACCACTGAGCTAGATCACTGGCTCTCCAATCAACACTTTTTAATGGAAACAACTTGACCAAAAATCTGTCACAGAATTTTGAGACCCATTAAAACAAACAAAAAGAGTAACAAAAAAAAAATGGAAAATACAGATCTGAAAGAAAAAATTATAATCTTTTTGTTTGTTTTTGTTTTTTGAAACATGATCTTAGTATGTAGTCCAGGCTGGCCTTGAACTCATGACAGTCCTCTTGCCTCAGCCTCCCAGGTACTGGGATTACAGGCATGTACCACCACACCCAGCCTATAATCTTGAACTTTAGAATGATCCATCCATATTTTCTAAATACTATTTTTTGGGGCTGGGGATTTAGTTCAGTGGTTCCGCCGCCTGCCTCGAAAGCTCAAGGACCCAAGTTCGATCCTCAGTACCAAAAGAAAAAAAAAGTAAATACTATTTTTCACATAAGTTTAGGAAATAGTAAAGAAAAAATTATAGGATTTTTTTGTTCGTTACGTTTTTTAAAGGTTTGGTTTGATTTGGTTTTACAGTACAGAGGGTTGAACCTAGGGCTTCACACATTAGGTAAATACCACTGAGCTATAACCTCAGCTAAAAACTTCCTTTTAGAAAATAAACACTGAAAGAAAAATGGATGGCAGATTAACTGGCACTTTAGAATTACTCTGACAGTTTGAAAACAAAATTCTGTTTTATTTTGGTTTGGTTTTGATTTTTGGTGCTGGGATCAAATTCAGGGCTTTGTGCATGCTAGGCAAGTGTTATATCATTGAGCTGCATCCTCAACCCCCAAAGTTCTCTGGTACATTTAAATTCTAAACAACATGGTGAGTTAATCTTTTAAGTGTACCTAATAATTTCCTTAAAAGAAAAAACTTTAAGCAGGCTTATCTAATCATGTTTCCAGAGAGTATGGTCAAGAGTTGGGACTGGCTGATTGCTTCTTGGGTGTATGTACTAATGTTAAGGCCAAGGAATGTCTAGCAGTCTTTTCCATAAGTAGGTTTCTGTAAGAATAGCTTTTTGTTTTCATTCCAGCACATTTGGATAGGTTTTGCATCAACCCCTCAGAGGTCTGCATCTCAGAGACTGGAAATCAGCTTTAATTCATTCAAGAGAACAGCAAGATAAGTTGTTTTTCTGACAGTGATGATAGTACGGTATGTGCAGACAAGTCCACACAGTGTATGTGATCAGCATCATGCATTGTAAGATGACAAGGTGGCATTCTGCAAAGACCATCAGAATAGTGGTTAGCATACCTGGGCCAGACCTATGCTTCATCATTTATAGACAGCTGACCTTCTGATATTAATGCTACTCCTTAATCTTTTTGAGTCACAGATTTTCATGTGTAATCTGGAGATGTTAATGCCTGTCCTCACTGCCTTTTAGAGTTTTGATACTAAGATGGAAAGTGAGAAATCGTAAAAGTTACTTTAATTAAAGGTAACAACCTATAGTAAATGTCTTTGCAGTCTTGTTTTTACCAGTGCATTACAACACTGGATTCATGGTTCCTAAGCCAGTAGCAAGGGATCGATACAAATTTACTTTCCATCCTGAATAACTAGCATGGAAAAGTAAATATGTGTGTTTGCACATTTGGTTGTAAGACCAAAACGTTTTGGCATGTTTCTGCCTGCATAACACCTAGTTTAGTCAGTTGACCCCCTGATTTACGTTTGTATTAGGAGCATGTGAAGGAGATGTATGTTATTCCTTTGTAGCTTTCTCTCAGCTACTCATTGATCCATTCAGCTTCATTTTCTACTCTCAATTACTGTATGTTGTTGATTTGCTGCAGCCCATATTCTGTCATCAGATGACAAAACAGTGAAACAGATAAGCCCAGATGTGGCACACCAACATACCTTTATGTTGGGAGGTCATTCAGTTTACAAAGAAAGACTGGAAGTTGAAGCTGGAAGGAACCCTACAAATTCTATAGCCTAATTTATCTTATTTTCAATTTTGCAGACAAGAACAGTTTAAATCTAAAGAACTTCTAGACTCCCTCAGTGTCACAAAGCTATATAAGGACAGAATCAGGATTATAGCCTGTTTTTATGACTCTTAGCCAAGTGCTTTTTTTATTTTATACCTAGTCTTTGAGGTAAGATTGATGGTATTGCCTATTCAGCCTACCTGTCTACACAAAATTATGGGACTAAAGGAAATTGAAATGAACAGTAGTAGAAGATGTAGAAAAGAAAGAATTCTGGAATTCCTTAAAGCATTCTTAAGCTATTTCTTCAAAATGAATTTTATGTGTCACAAACACATCATAAAATGTGATTTGCATATATTTTCATTTCCAGTGTTGCTAATATGGTATTATGCTTATTTTATTTCTTTTCTGAATGACCGATACTGTGAAAACTGTCAAAGTAGTATGTCAAGCACTGTCATCTGAACATCTTCTGGATGGTTGTTGAATTCCTCTAAGATTTCAGTTTGTAGTGTTTCAAGAATGCTGTGTTTTGAACCCACAGCAGTGAGGGTTTACATTCTTTTTTATATTTTTTGTTTTTTTGAGACAGGGTCTGACTATGTAGTTCAGGCTGGCCTTAAACTCACTATGTAGCCCAAGTTAGCCTTGAACTTGCAGTGATCCTCCTGCCTCAGCTTCCCTAGTACTGGGATCACAGGCATGCACCACCATGCCCAGCTGGTGTCCATTCTTATTTCCAGTTGTGCACTATAATGTATATGTTACATAGTCTTTATATAATAATCTGTTAGTATCTTAATGTAATTTAGATCTAATAGGCATATAATCTATTGGTATCTAAATATGACTTAAGTGATTTTTTATCATCTATGTTATGTTTCCCAGTATGGTACCTTTTGTACCTTTCATGTAGTCTACTAATGTACTAGTATTATTCCACATACCAAAAAAAGTTTTTTTAATAAATAAAGAAAAATAAAACTCTTCCCTGTGATACCTAAGAATTGGTTGTTAGGTTTATATTAATAAATATTTCAGCCATACAAAACATTCCAGATATGTGTATGCTTGCTTGTGTTTGGTGCTGGCGATTGAACCCAAGGTGTCGTGCGTTAGCATGTGCTCTACTACTGAGCTATACCCGAGCACCCAGACACTGTTTTTTAAATTTTTATTTCTTTTGGTACCGGGGAATCAAACTCAGGACCTTGTGCTTGCAAGACAGGTGACAGCACCACTGAGCTAGATCCCCGGCCCCCCAGACACTTTTTAATCATTTCAAGGATATTGTAAAGATCATCTTATAGGCAAAATTGTAGGCTAGTAGTATCAGTGCCTTCAGAATATTTGTGTTTATTACGTAAATGTGCCCTAGACACCAGGACTAATAGAAATAAGAGTATCTGTGCTAAATCTATGGTTCTGACAGAAAAGTCACTTCTGTTATATAACTTCACAAGATGTCATACAGTTGGTGTCTGTACATTGCCCCATCACACCCACTGCTTCTCTGCTCTTTCCCCACCCTAAATCTTAGGCCACCTTTGGCTTTGGAGAAGCATCAGTTCCAGTACCTTAGTACTGTGTGCTCACTTGGGCTACATGTATGTGTTACACTGGGAAGGGAGGCTGAAGGGTTGGTACACATACTGGTAACCATTTAAGGGATGAGCAGTCTGATAGCTATCACACATAGGTAGCAAGATGCTGATTTTTCCAGTAAAACTGATTCTAAAGCTAGGCTTGATGGCACAAGACTGTAATCCCAGCACTACGCTATCTCAAAAAAAACCCAAAAAAACAAACGCATGTAAGTCTGATCAAGTAGTTTCAATTTAATACATTCAGCCAGGCCTAAAACCCAAACGAAATCATCAGCTATCCCTCAGCATGATTTAAGTAATGTATATAATTTTGCTAAGATGGAGGAGGGGCTAAAACAGGTTGAAAAACCTTACAGATAAGTATATTTATCAGAGTAAATACTTTCTAGTTAACAGCAAGGAGTTCAAGATCTTAGGATGAATAAGGTTTGGTGGCTCTTACCTAAAAGATTTTAGCCAAGTACTTTGTCATGGGTGCAAACCTGATATTCTTAAGCTGGTTTTTTTTCTTGCCTTTGATGGACTTGGTCTTTGGGTCTTTGGGAGATTTTCAGAAGTCAGGTTTCACTCCCTATGCTTACAAATCTGTTCAGCATGGCAGTGCCATGAAGACACTCATTAACTGAGTCTGCACCAATGTCCTGAAAGTAAATAAAGATGTACATACTAACCACTAACAGAGTTACAGAATTAGTGATGGTCCATCCCTGTGGGCCGATTGTTACCCAGTTTGCAGTTAACACAACAGTGAGGACATTTTAAATAGTCAACAGCCTCATGATGCAAACATACTGAGCATTCTCCTAAATGAGTAGAATGTAATTCTGTATCACATTGAAAGAGCATCCCCTCAGATGTCACCAGGAACTAAAGCACCAAACACTGAAACACATCCCAGTTAAGTGACTACTAATATTTGCATTCCTCACATTTAGTGAAAAATATACCAAATGTATGTACTAAGCA